CTTAGCACCTGTAACCTTGGGCAACATTTTACCTCCTTGGGGGTCACTTCTCTTAACCTGTAAAATGAGGAGATTGGACTAGAATAATATTAGCTAGCATTTACTATCTCTGTCTGTCTGTCTATCTGTGTATCTGATGAGGTAAGCTAGTAGGTAGATAGATAAATAGATGTTAGTAAGTAGCCTACCTTTGAGGCCAACTAGTCAAACCCAATCATTTAAGGCATTGAGGGGACACAGTGGATACAGAGTTAGATTTGAGTGAAGAAGACCTGGGTTCTAAATAAACCTCAGACAATTACTAGCTGTGTGACTCTGGGCAAATCACTTAATGTCTCTCAGCCTCAGTTTCCTCATCTGAAAATGAGGATAATAATAAAAGCACCCATCTCCCAGGGTGCTTGAAAGGATTGAATTTGAGGGCATGATTGTCCTCTGGGCACCATTCTCCTGGCATTGAGAGCCCAACTAAGCATTTCCTGACCAAGTACAAAATGTCAGAGAAAATCCTTGGTTTCAGTTAAATATAAGATCCTTGAGAAGAGAGATGACTTCTTTGTTTTCCTTTCCATCCCCAGCTTCTAACCCATTGCCAGCACATACTAGATGCTTATTAAACAATTGTTGACTTGAGTTGAATCACCCACCAGTTAGTGGTTTCAGAAGACAGGGCCGATGCATCAGCACCTGGAAAACTAGTCCTTCTGCAGGACAACTCCCCCTCTTTAATGATGCTACAAATAAATTGCATTTAATTACATTAATTCACATAATGAGTAACAGTGGACTACCCCAGGCTTTGCAATTGTTATTTTAAATCCTGCAGCCCAAGGATTGGTTTTTTCCCCTGCTGCCTAAAGCAAAATAACAGAAAGGCCCTAAGAATGTAAGCTCTGAAATGACCAAAAGGTAGAAATTTTCAGAAAGGAGTGTTTATTGAGAACCACTTACATGAAAGCTTCCTTGGTGGACTCACCACCATAACGCGGGCCCTCAAAGGTAAGAGCTTCCAAATATCTCAACATCTGTTCTGGGGAAAGACATTCATCTGAGGGCCGAATTTTAGGAAGGACATTGATCACCCAGAGAGTGTCCAGAGGAAGGCCACCAAAATGGTGAAGTACCTGGAGATCATATCAGATGAGCATCGGGGAAGGCATTGGAGAACCTGGGGAAGCCTTTCTTGATGGCACCCCTCCCCAGTTGTTACTATTCCTCCTCTTCCCTGAAATGAGTTTATATTTCCTTTGGATACCTTTTGTATTTACTTATTTGTTGTACCCCTGTAGTAGAGAGGTTCATAACCTGGAGTTCATGGAGGGTCTATTGATGGGCTTTATGGAGTCCATTAATTTGGATGGGGGAAAATTACATCTTTATTTGCATTAACCTCTAACTAAAATTTACCATTTCCTTTAAGTACGAATTAAAAAAAAAACAACAACATGATTCTGAAAAGGAATCCATGGGCTTGACCTGACTGCCCAATGGGTTTATGATACAAAAAAAAAATTATCAGCCCCTGTAGAACGTTACTTCCTTGAGGGCAGGGACTATTTTCATCCCTAGTCCCCAAAAAAGTACTCTGTATCTAGTAGACACATAATAAATGCTCATTGAATTGGGGATATCATGTAGATTTAAAGCTGGCTGGCCTCATCTCAAGTTTTCCTGACTCTGAGTCTATAATTCCATCCATCGCCCCGTGCAGGTTTTCCCATGGTTAAGGTTAAAGCTTATTCAGAGCACCTGCACCCAGCACTTCCTTAGGGGATTTACTTGGTTGAAAGGGAATAGGGAGGGGAAGAGCATCTTTGAGAACATTTAAAACGGGGCCTCAACATTCAATCTTTGTTCTGCTTTTGCAGAGTTCGTTTGGAAACGCTAGTTTTAAAAATAGATTCAATATTCACTGCAGAGAATAGGGTCCATTGTATGAATGGACCTCTCTCAAAGTGCGCGAGTAGCCAGCAGCTTACTCTTTGGGGTTGAATTTCTTCTAGCTTTATAACAGAAACAGGCTGGACTGCACACGCCTCTTTGGAACTGTTTAGTAAGCAAAGCTTTAAAGGAAATGAAACCAAAGATTCTTCCTGGCCCAGCAGAAACCCCCTTTTCCCCTCCCGCTATTTACATACTTAATGTCTCTATGTTGACAACTAAAGGATACGGATCAAACCCAAGAAAGGTTCCGACTCCATTTTAAGGTTGCATTGAGTGCTTTAACTCAGTGAGCTTTTCAGAGCCGGAAATAACTAGCGTAATCCTTCACCGGGATTTATGACCCACATTTCCTCCAAAGACACCATCGGAAGGCTACAGGGGCAAGGCCTGTTCTCACCCACGCTGGCAGAGGGGTGGACTTGTAGTCCAGCAGCAAAGTGGAAGTTAAAACTTCCCGTTGGATTTTTTTCTTGAAGAAACAATGGTTTCAGGTTCCCCCAAGGGCATCGTGACCTCACGCGGCCGAGCAGAGGACCACCAGCCATCGAAGGGACGGGACCGGACGAGAGCGTGGGTTTCTTCCTCCATAGCAAGTCAGCTCTCTCTGAGCCCCCTGCACAGTGCCGGGAGGGTCAGAAGGACTTGTAGGAAGGAAGGATTATTCATTGAGTTTCGGCTCCCAGACACAAAGAGCTCGCTCCAGGACTGGTTTTAATTTTTCTTTAATGAGAGCTTACTTCTCCTCTTTCAACTCTGGGTGTGTCGGTGCTCATTCAAAACCAAACATTCAAAATTTCCCCTTTGAACAAGTCTTGTGGTTTTCGTACAGCCCTTTCTGGTAAGCCTTGGACCACTCACTCTCTTTTAGATTTTTTGGTTCTAATAGATTCGGAGACTTCGAGAAGAAAGGAGTCTTAGAAGGCATCAAATCTAGCCCTTCGTTTCACAAAAAAAAAAAAAAAAGCAATGGAGAATTAGATGGGTTAAGTGACCCACCCAAAGCCATACAGGTGATAAGTGACACTAGCAGGATTTGAACCCTGGTCCACTGGGTCTAGATTTAGTGCTATTGGCAAGACTTTTATAAAAGCAGAGCTGATGCCAGGCAAAGAGTAAGCAGAGCAGGGAGAATCATTTAAGCTATACTAACAGCTCTGATCAACTCAATGACTAAATCAGATCCCCGAGGACCAGTGAAAAAGCGTGCTACCCACTTCCTGACAGAGAGCCGAGAGACAGGGTACAGGCTGAGACATATGCTTTTTGTTCACAGACAATGCAGGAATTTGTTTTGCTTGACTGGGCATATTTGTTACAGACTTGTTTTTCTTTTCTTTTTTTTTTTTTTCTCAGGGGAGGTAGGGAGGGGGACAGTGGGAGAGGGAGGAAACAGATTTTTATTAAGTAAAACATAAAATAAAAATAGTGTTCTTTCCGTGTACCAAAGGGAAGCAAAGGTGGACAGCTCACAAAAGTTTTACTTTGTGAGTATTGTGAGTTTCTTGGGGTCATATGATATAGCCAAGGGAACTGTGATGTCATCAGGGTAGAAAACTCCCAGTGTTGAAACTCCCTTCATCAATGCAGGTGGCAACCTATATATGATCATAGGATTCTAGCTATAGCCCTTCAAGGCCATTTGATCCAACTCCCTCATTTTTACAGGTGAGGAAACTTAGACCCAGGAAGATTAAGTATGGGTTGGGCTAGATGGCTGCCAGGGTCCCTTCTAACTTTAAAAATCTGTGAATCTGACTTGCCTGTATGCCTACATCTTGTAATGGATAGACATAGGATTTAACTCAGGTCGTCTGATTCTTAATGTTCTTTTCATTATACCTTGTTGCTGAGATGAGATAAATTCTAGTTATATGCAACTAGTAAGTGTCGGAGATGGAATTTGAACCCAGATATTTCTGAGTCTATAGTGATCACTCTATTATCTCTGCCATATTGTCTCTGTGAATGATGCCTCAAAACAAAATGTATCAATTAAGAACCCCCCACAAACTAGCTGAAGTGGTTTTCTTTGTATCTCTTTTATTTTTGTTTCTTTACTGTCATTTTCCCCCTATTCCTGGTGTCAGAATCTAGAACTGGAAGGGACCTTTGAGGTCATCTCTTCCCATCTGACAGAAGAGGAAACCAAGGCTCAAAAAAAAAAACCTAAGTAACTGGCTCAACCTTTTCCAGGAATTTTTTCTTCTTTGTATGTAGTCCTGACCTCTAGCTATTCATTCAATTCCCCTTCTTGCTCTTCAAGGAGAATCAAAAGAATAGCATTACGGTCAAGGCAGTAGATAGGATTTCATCAGACACCAAAATAAATGCTGTGTGATGGCCTCAGTTCTTCCTTTGGCAGAGAAGTGTCTGGGATATGGATTTCAGCTGAGAATTTGACAGCATCTCTCATACTGTCCTTGTGGATGGGACAGAGAGGTGAAATCGAAGCACAGATTGTAGAAACAGTTGTATGATAAAGCCCAAAAAAACTAATCATGAAGAACTGGTTGGTATCAACTTTGAGGAAGGTATCTAACAGTCCCCCTAGTATCTGACTCCAGTTCTGTACTGTTCAACATTTATTCTTCTTGGTGTTGCTCGGTTGTGTCCAACTCTCTGTGACCCCATTTGGGGTTTTCTTGACAAAGATACTGTAGTGGTTCAACATTGCCTTCCCCAGTTCATTTTATAGATGAGGAAACTGAGGGAAACAGGGTGAAGTAACTTGCCCAGGATCACACAGCTAGTAAATATCTGAGGTCAGATTTCAACTCAGAAAGCTGAGTCTTCCTGACTCCAGGCCCAGCACTCTATCTACTGTGCCACCTAGCAGCCCTCAACATTTATATCAATGGCTTAGATGATGGAGTTGATGAGATTCCAAGATTAGAGAAATACTTATCACAGTGGATGACAGTCACTATCCAAAAAATCCTCCAAGGGAAACAGTTAAATATGAAAACAAACAGGCAAATGAGGGTATATATTGATTGCTGAGATCAGCACTTATAAGGATAAATGTAAAGTTTTACACTCCACAAGACAGAGGAAAACACGGCTGGGTGAAAGTTTGCATGATGAAAAATATCTAAGGGCTTTAGTGGATTGCAAACTCAATGAGTCAACAGTACGACATGATAGCCAAACGTATGTGTCCCTGGTGCCTTCTGGCTCTCTCTCTGAACCAGAATGCTACATCTGCTCCCTCAGGGTTCAAGGGGGCCCTGATGAGCTGCAGGAATCTTTTATCTAGTGCTATCAGTTTGAGCTCCTCCTCACAGAAGCCAATGACTCCAGTCCCACTGAATATTAATTAGCTTTACAAATGGGTACTTCCTTCCCATATGCAAGAAGTATCAAGAACAAACATCACCTCCCCCCAAAGAAAACCTCTGTTGCATACTCTCTCCTCCAACACCTCCTTGTCTAGGAAGAGCCGGTTCACTTTTAGTAGAGTTCCTACATAGCATTAGTCTCACCAAGTTTCTGTCCTGATGAACTATAACTCCTGGACGAGTCCTTCTCTCAGCTGCTCTGGACTGGGGTCTGAAGGTCATTCCCAAGGGTCACTATAAACTCTCTGGGGCACTGATGCTATTCTAGCTGCAGATCAGGACTCTGGAAAGTCATGACGTCAAAGAATTCTCTTGACATTTTGAGCTCACAAGGATGAAGGTTCTACTCTTCACCTAGAACAGAGAAAAAAATACGCAAAGACCAAGAAAGTAGGCACTTCCACAGGGCCTCAGAGGGGAGCCAGAAGCCCTTCATATCATTATCTGTCCCCAGTATCTGTGAGCAATATAATTAAAAAGATCCTCTCCCCCACCCTCTTGCTGATGGCCTTTTGGGAAGTCTCCTTCAGTTCTGTCTATGCAGCATTTGAAAAACAGCTCCACCTAACCACACAATTAGTAACCAGAACCAGTCATAGAATATTTATGCATGTTCCATAGATTCTCCAAAGCACCCTCCCCAAAGCCAGCTTCTCAGCTCCTCCACATGGGGAAATGCCATTTCAGGAGTTTTGCACATGTGCCAGACCCCTATTACATATGTAGCATGTTTCACCAATGTTAGAGCAGTATAGAAATGAGAGCTCAAAAGGGGTGATAGAAGAAGGAAGGGGAAGGGAGGGAAGAGGAAGAGGAAGGAGAGAGAGAAAGGGGGAAAGGAAGGGGACGGTAGATTTAGCTATAGATTTGACTAGATGGGCTTGGAGGTCCCTTCGTGGTCTGAGATTCCGTGATTCTGCCTCTTCATTTGAGGTTGGAAAAAAAAAAGAGACCAGCTATTTCAGATTCATAATGCTGAGAAGCTGTCATCTCATTTGTGTAAGCCACTCTCTGACACAGAACACAATTTCTCTATGACTTAACATGAGGACTGCTAGAGTTAACATGACCAAAAGCATCGCCCTGCAGCCAATCTGGTGACGAGCCTGTCCAAACTCACCTAGGCTTCTCTTCAGATAGCTGGTATATAATCCATCTGCAAGCCCAGACATGCAGCTTTTCTAGCTTCATGGACCAGCTTGGGCTGACATTGATTTCAAGAGCACCATGATGAGACCCAATGGAGGTCATTGGCATGGCACAGTGCAAAGACTACTGGCTTTGGAGTCGAGAGGCTTTGTTATTCAGTCATTTTCAATCATGTCCAACTCTTCATGACTCCATTTGGGGTTTTCTTGGTAAAGATACTGGAGTGGTTTGCCATTTCCTTCTCTGGCTCATTTTACAGATGAGGAACAGAGGCAAACAGGGTTAAGTGACTTGCCCAGGGTCACACAGAGAGTAAGTGTCTGGGGCCAGATTTGAACTCGTAACTTCCCCCCCTCTAAACCCAGCACTCTATCCACTGCAGCACCTAGCTGCCTTGGAGTCAGAGGACACATGCTCCACTTCCGGTTCTACCATTTGCAACTAGTATGAGTTAACCCTTAGGAGCCTTGATTTCCTCATCTTTAAAATGAGGGGTCTGAGGTTCATACTAGCTCTGACTCTGTACTAAGATGATTTTAACGGGGGTAATGTGAGGGCTGGGTCTGTCTCCGAGTTTCCATCAATGTCACTTTCCTCCCACTCAGACATATCCCTGAGGCTGTAATTTGCTTTTCTTTGACATCTCCTCCTTCTTTCTGCATCCAGGCTGCCCTTGATGTGAACATTAGCCTCATTTCACCTAAATGAAAACCTTCAGAAGCTGACCCTGTAGAGATTGTGGCCCTTCTATTTCCACCCTGCTGCCTCTTGGAAGAAAACCTCCCTCCTCTGTGCCCCTTCCTTACATTTCCCAGTTGTCAGCCCATTTTTCTCAGTCTACTTTAGAAGTGATGTAACTAAGAAGCTTCTGGGGAATGTAGTTTTAGTAGCTCTTCCATGGTCACAAGACAGCACCACCTTTGTGCTGGAGACACATATACATTTAATTATATTTAATTGTAAAAAGGGAGAACCTCACTTTTGTCAAACTAACCAGAAACCATTAACTGAATAGCCCACTCCTTGTAAGTACCTCAGGGGAAGTTATGTTAATAGAGGGGGGAAAAGGACCCAAGAATAGTATGATATGGTGGAAATATTTCTGGATTTGGCATAGAAGACCGGGCATCAAATTCCAGGTCTGCTACTTAACTATTTGCTAACTGTGTGATCTTGAATAGGTCACTTTTCCTCTTTGAGTCTCAGTTTCCTCACTTGTAGAATAAGGGTGCTGCCTTAGATGATGTCTGAGGTCTCTTTCAGTCTAAGGTCTATGACCCCATGATCAATGACTTTTGGGCTCTCCAAGTTAATGATAGCATAGTATCTTCATTTCTCACAGTAATGCTGTCATCTCATGGTCCTGGTATTAGGGTTTCTTTCACACTGGGATTCCTGCAATGGCCAGTTTTTGCTCTCTTAACCCCAGTGGCCCCCTTTCAACTGCTCTCTGCTGTCTCAATTGTGCTTCCTCACAGTATCCCCCTTGTGGCATCAACTCCTAGTCTATTCCTCATTGACATTGCTTTGTTGCAATTCGGAGGCCCACGACTCAGATTGATTCTTAGGACTCACCATCAAAGATGATGGTTCAAACAACAGAATGAATATAGATTTTCCCTTTTTGGGTCTTAAGCAGGAGGAAGGTCTTCAAACAGTGGCCCATCCTCCAATCTTCAAAGAATCCCAACATATATGAGTTCGGAAGACCATCTAGGACAACTCTTTGGGAGATGGGGTGGGGTTAGATGAGGGTGGCATCAAGATACATGATTTCAATAGTGTAGGATGGAAACTCCTCTACCAATGCAGTTCAACAACTCCCGTGTAACTTATAGTCTGTGAGAGTTACTTGGAGGAACTTACAGGTTAAGCGAATTGCCCTGGTCACTAGAATCCTGGCTGACTCTCTGGTCAGCTCTCTGCTCTAAACTATTCCACTCCTCTTGTTGTACCCCAGAGAAGACAAACATGGTAAACATTGCCCTTTTTTCACACTAGTCCCTTTTTGCAAATCAGAACAATTACTCTTCTCTAGTCTTAGGATGGTAGATTCAGAGATGGGAGGGGCCTTAAAGGCTATTTAATCCAATCCCCTCATTTTACGAATGATGAAACTGAGACCCTGAGAGGTATAATAAGTTGCCTAAGGCCACATGGGTGAAGGATTTGAACCCCTGCCCTAGGAGTCCGGAATCAATAGACTTTCCTCCATACCACAAGTACTTCCCCATTTTCCCTGTTCTTCCGGTGGCTCAGCCCCCACATCCTTCAGTTCTTTCTATTTCCTGGAATGTTATTCAACCAGGCCAGGTGAGCTGAATTCAAAGAAGGCAACCAAGAGCTCCTTGACTCTCTGCATTCTGACCTTGGGCGCTGACTCCAAATTAGTCATTTTTTGTTCTCTTTCCAATCTAAACATCATTCTTCCGAGCAAAGAAAACAGAAGTAAAACAACAGTTGATTTGTTCCACCGTCATGCATTATTATGATTTCAGCCACCCCCAAAAGCAGCCCTCTCTCTTCTGGGACCTTCCTCTGTCTTCCAGTGCAGATTAAAGAAAAAAAAATTTTAATCCTTGTCCTTACCAGCAAGTAAGTCATACACCTGACAATCCCCAAGAGCCCTCACGCAACACCTGACAAGAGAGGTGAAGGAAACCTAAGGCAGGTAGTCTTGGGTCCTACTGCCTCCTTAGTGTATCCTTTCAATCAATCAACCCCTGAGCTGGGTGATGGGGATACAAAGACATTCTCTGTTTTCTGCCATACGCCTTCAATCTTCTCCTAAGTAATGCAGGGCTCCCCCACCACAATCTAACACTTTCCACGGCCAGTCTAGCACATCTCCTTCTTCATGGTACACCAGCCTCTGAGTGTTTTAGAGCTTGGGCACCCGACTGAGAATTAGAAAGAGCTGGCTTCACATCCTGCCTCATACACTTCCTAGCTGTGTGACCTAGGCAAGCCATTGAACCCCTCTCAGCCTCACTTTCCTCATCTGTAAAATGAGGACAATAATAGCAATAATTTCATAGAATGATTGTGAAGGTCAGTCAAGCTAATCTATACAGAAGACTGAGCAAACTTATTTAAATGTCATCTGCTATTATTATTATTGCTTCCTGGGGATATTAATTGTAATCAGCTGCTCCCTTTACAGATCCTCCCTGAAGGCATGAGCATTATCAAGGAATCTTAACTCATCGCTGGTAGCACCCGGGCCTCTCTCCTCCCCCCAATAGTGAGTATGGGTCATTGGCTCAAGGACACCTTATTTGATTAGAGGGTCAAGCTCTATTTTGATGTTTTGTTGTTTTTATTATTTTACTAGCTGTGCTAACATAAGCACATCCCTGAGCCCCAGAGGATCATAGATTAAAATCAAAACAGTCCTTTGAAATCATCTAGTCCAATTCCTTTATTTCGTAGATGAAAAAACCGAGGTTCAGAAAAGTCAAGTATCTCACCTAAGATCATGCTGGTGCCAGAGCCGGGATTCTGACTCCTTTACTCTGTCTTCTGTATTGTGCCCCATCCTTTGTTTTCTTATCTGCAAAATGGGAACAATAATATTTTGCATCACAGGCTTGCTCAAAGTATATGCCGCTTGTCCCTCTTCCATATCTTTTTCTGAGAAGTGTAATCAAATCTCAACCACCATTTCCTCTGGAAAGGATGTGTCAATGAATGTCCTCATTGTTCCATTCACCTTCTTTGTGATACCTCAGCCCCTATTAGAATGTAAGCTCCTTGAGGGTGGGGAATGTCTTGATTTTATATTTGTATCCTCAGTGCTTAGCATATTTGATACATAGCAAGCACTTAATAACCATTTTGTCACTGATTTATTCATCACATAAATGTACTTTGAAAAGATAAAGTGCTACAAAATGCTAACTAGATTATTATCATAGTTAATATTATATTATGATAAAATAATAATGTTATATGTTATATTAATATTACATAGTTTACATGGTGACTAATATCAATATAATGATGTAATTTTATTATTGTTGCTGTTATTTTTAGTATTATTATTAAACCTTACAGTACAGTATAAATGTGAGTTACTATCACGGCCTGAGTTCACAGGGCCAGAATTTGACTCACACTCAGACACTGCTACCAAGGTATACTTTTCTAGTGTGTATGAAATCAGTGCAGTGCATATCTCTGAATACGATAATATCAATACCCTCTTATAAAGCTACATTTTAGCTTTTAAATTTAAAAACTTTTTAATTTAAAATTTTGTTGTGAGAAGGTGGGAATGTCTTTGTCAAACTTGACCTTGTTGAAGCTAAATGACAGCTGGGAAATCTGTTGACAGCTGGATGTTCCATTGGTCACAATGCCTTGGACACTGACTCCTTGTTCCTTCCAAAAAAGTCTTGTGCCCTCGCCTTTGTGATGACAAGTGGAAGACTGTTTGTCACATTCATAATGAGCTCCCAGCAATAGCAACTTTGAAACCATCAGAATGCATAGTGACCTCATTGGCTTCAACAAGACAGTAAGAAGATAGCATAGAAATGAAGCGTCTCTCCCAGCTCTGGATGCAGCCAATACCAATGTCCATCCAGGACTCATAACTGCTTACAGTTAAATTTAAAGTAGATTAAATACTCCAGGACTCCCAGGCATCTTTTCTTTGATCCCCAGAATATGATATGACCCCAGGGTTTTCCATCCACTGATTCATCTTGTGAACAATTAGGACGACCTGAGGCTGGGTTATGTCAATGGCTGAGATAGTTCTTAGCCTCCCTTAGGCATTTTGAGTACAGGAAGGCTCTCTTCCATTTCCCAGGGAGATTCTGGATTCCGCTGTTTACCAGAAGTAGTCGAGAGTGGAAATACACTACCTGGTACATATTGGTCTAGGTGGGATCCTAGTCTCACAGCCAGAAATGATGCTTGTAATAACAAGCAAGGATTGAACTGGATTTCAACACAATGGGACTTTATTATAGCAAAAGCTATACTAGAAATCTGCAACTACAACATTAATCTAGGGAAAAACCACTCAGGAATCATTGTGTTATACAATACTGCTTGCCCCTCTGTGACTATAGATACATAGAAACAGAAACCAATCAATCAAATATCAAACATTTATTAAGCACCTACTATATACCAAGATATACCAAGATGGGGAAGGGGAAGAAATTTCTCCTCCAGCCCAGGTAGTGAATTATATTATCATTATATTTATTATAATTGTACTATATACCATAACTATACTATATATTATCATCATATACTCTATATAATATGGTCTAGGGGTCATTATTTCTAAGTGGGGTTCCCAAAGCAATGCTACATCTTCCCCTCAGAGTTCTGGGACTATTCCTGAGGACTGGGGCATCTTTCTAATGCTATTAGCTCGAGACCCCATTCTCATGTTTCCCCCCCAATATCAATTGTCAGTTACTTATCATAGATTGACCCGATGATTAGTGCTGCAACCCCAGGCAGCTAGGTGGTACAAGCAGCTAGCTGTCACAGTGGAGAGAGTGCCAGGCCTGGAGTCAGGAAGACTCATCTTCCTGAGTTCAAATGCACCCTCAGACACTGGCTGTGTGACCCTGGGCAAGTCACTTAACCCTGTTTGCCTAAGTTTCCTCATTTGTAAAATGAGCTAGAGAAGGAAAGCACTCTCATATCTTTGCCAAGAAAATACCAAATGAAGTCACAGACTCGGACATGACTGGACAGCAACAATACATGTGTGTATGCAAAAAACAAACAAACAAACAAACAAACAAAAACAATGGGAGCAGGGGCTTCTGAGGAAGAGAGAGTCACGAAACCAACAGAGCTTCCAGTTTATGGTTGTGAGATAACACAATGAGATGAGTTCAGAACTGGTTGAATGTCTAGACTCAAATAGCAGTCGTTAATGGTTCAACGTCAACACATCAGGAGATTGCCAGTGGATTGCCCCAGGGATCCAAGCTCTGCCTTGTCCTGGGTGATATTTTCATCAGTGCCTTGGATAAAGGCATAGAAGGTGTGCTCATCACCCAGCTTTCCCAGTCTGGGAGAGATATGAAACACACTGGATGGTAGTCAGAATTCCAAAAGATCTTGACAGGCTGTAGTATTGGACTGAATCTAATAAGATGAAATTCAAGAAGGATACATGTAACATCCTATACTTGAGGATGACAAATCAAAAGTACGAGAGAGGGGATTCTTGGTTAGATAGCAGCCAGTTTGGACATTTCCTAGGGGTTTTAGTGGCCTGTAAACACAATGTGCATCAGCAGCACACGGGGCAGCCAGAAGCTCATGTGATTTTGGGCTGTACTAAGAAAGGCACAGTTTTTAGGAATAAGGTGGAGGGACTGCCCTTCTATGCCCAGCTCTCATCAAATTCTATTCATTCACACCCTTCCTTATCCTGCACTAACTAGAGAGGTCTTCTGCATGCTTCCGTCTCTTTTATTGCTTTCTGAATTTTCTCTTTCCTCCTTGGTTTTCCCATACCCTCCTCCCTCAGCAAATAGCTTGAAGTCTTGGTCTCTGAAACAACTTCTGTATTCAAAAATAATATCTGGGATACAAACGCGTTCTCATATGACAGTGTAGTATTAACTTTCCAAAGAACAAGCAGGCTAACAGGACATGTACCTACCTGCAAGGACAAGAGGTTGTCTTTACAAATAAAATGGCTGACAGCATCGATGTAGAGGGACCAGCTTGGTCTGTCCAGAGCCATCATCCACGTACTGGGAGGCTCTTCATTGCTGTTTCCTGTTGGTAACAAGGCCGTGGGCTTCCCTCTCCTGTGTAGGACAATACAGATGCTCATACTAGGACTAAGAAAAGGACCAAGTGTTACACAGCAATATGTAGTCCCCTTTTGAAATTCCTGTTAAAGAGAGCACACCAGAGAGTAGGCATCAGTAATGTTCAGTAGAGTCTCCAAAAATAACTGAAAGGAAAGACAAAAGGCCTTTTTGGATTCAATCTTCAATTTCTCAATGAGATCTCTGGTTGTGGGGCCAAGTTCACTCTCCATTGGGTCAGATGACTCAAGTAACCAAGTGAAAGAAAGGCATCATCTACTTTGGGTCCCAAATCCAAGGTCAGGGTGACCCTTAGTGTCACTTAAATAAATCTTAAAGGCCATTAATGCTAATCCCACTTGGTTATTATGTGCACAACTTGAAAGAGAGAGCATAAATTTTCCCTGTCAAAGACACTAAGCATATTAGCTCATAGGATTGTGAACTTAGAACTAGTCTACCTCCTGCCTCACCCCCCCCACTACCATTTTACAAATGTGCAATTGAGGCACTTAAGTGAGTTTCCCAGAGTCATACAATTATTAAGTGTCTGAGATGGGATTTGAACTCAGGTGTTCTTGACTTCTAAACTCAATTAGGCAGTTCTGCCTCTCAGTTCAAGCTGGGCAGAGCCAAAGAGAGGATGAGCTCATATTTTCCTTGTTCTTTTCTTTTTAATTTTAATTTTTAATAAATTAATAAACATTTATTTTCTCTCTGGCCCACCTTCCCTATTAAACAACAAACAAAACAAAAAACGCTAGTAATAAATATGCATACTTAAGTAAAACAAATTTCCATATTTACCATGTCCAAAAATGTATGTTTTATTCTTCATCTTGAGACCATCACCTCTCTGTCAGCAAGCTTCATCAAAAAAAAAAAAACCATAACTCTGAAACGAGGATTAATTATTGAGTGGAATAGAGTTCTTAAGCCTTTCAATGCTGTTTGTCTTTACAATATTGTTGTTATTATGTAAATTGTTCTCCTGGTTCTATTCACTTCACCCTGCATCAGTTCATGCAGATCTACTCAGGTTTCTCTGAAACCGTCCCTTTCTAATTTCATATAGCTCAATAGTGTTTTATCACATTCATATACCATAGTCTGTTCCATCATTCTCCAGTTTATGGGCAACCTCTCTCCCTGCCCTCTTTGTTTCCAGATCTTTGCCAATACAAAAAGAGCTGCTATAAATATTTTGGTGCTTCTGTCCTTTTCCTCTTCTTTGACTTCTTTGAGCCATAGACCTACTACTGGTTTAGTTGGGTCAAAAGGTATGTACAGTTTAGTAACTTTGGGGGCATAATGCCTTACAGAGTACACATGCACCCCCAAATAGAAATACCCCGAGACTGTGAGGCTGGACAGCCACAAACTATGAGCAGAACAGAAAGCAGCCACTTTAGTCTGAGAGGCTATGGGGAGCAGATTCTCACACACAGGGCAAAGCTTAACCCCAGGGGAAGGGAGATTCTCTTGCATGTGCCATTGGTCAGAACTGGAGGGCTCCAACTGTGTAGATGCCATTTTAACACTGGGAGCTGGAGGGCATTCCCCCTGGTGGTTAGAGATGAGAAAATTTAGGCCTAGAGTGGGTAAATGGCTTACTACTATTTAATGGCAGAGCTGATGTCTAGATCAGCACTCACTGCCCTACCTTTTTTAAGTCTGAAACTTTCTGCATCTCTCCAATGTTGTCTGTGATTGCTGTGTTGGTCAGGGAATCATAAAATTCTAGAGTTGGAAGGAACCTTAGCCTTGATCTAGGCCCATCCTTCTGCCGGGGAAATATGTACAACGTCCCCAAGTGGCTACCCGGGTCTCCAATCAGACTAGCGTTTACTAAGCATGCTTCCAGTTCCAGGCTCTGTACCAAGCACAAGGAATACAAAGAACGGGAACTGGGGCCTGCCTTCAAGGGGCATATGTTCTACTAGGGGATCCAACCCGTAGGGAGGAAGAAATCCCTATTTCATGAGGCTTCCCACACCCTCTTCAGAACCCACCTACCCCCAACTTTGATCCACTGGTTGGTTTTCTAAAGAATCACAAAAGTAACACAGACTCTGGTATTTTCAGGCCTCACATTCTTTTAGACCCAGCCTAGATATTTTTTAGTCTCAGGGCCTGTTAGCATGCCTGGCTTAAGAATCATTGAACATTTTGAAGTAATCAACGTTTATCTTTGTCTACTCCCATCACCCCTTTAGGAGCTTTTCTCAGAGTTTACATCTGTTTTTGTCATCTCCTCCATGACACCCACTTCCTTCATGCTGTGTAAATGCTGCCAAGGGCCAACCCTACGGTATAAAACCATGTTCTCAAGCAATGCTATTTTACCAAAATTTTACCCATCACCCATCCCCAGTCACCATTCCTCATATCTCTCCTCCCATCAAAATTAGCCCATCCCATGTCCCATTCCCTTATGTCCCTGACATTTTTAGGAAAATACAGGCACAAATAGCATATTAAGCTGAATACAAGTCACACTTTCCTTCCATTATGGATTAATAAGCTCAGACTCATAAGGGACCCCAGCAGCCATCTAATCCTACCTGTATATGACCAAGAAACCTATTGTGGGCCAGGGTATTAGTGGAATTAGAGAGGTATGAGTTATACCCCCATGTTCCACAACACCAGCCCAGAGTGTTGCAAGCGAGGGAATTGTTAGGCCAGCCAAAGCCAGCTGAGGTTAATTTTGTCCCAAGCTGAACCGATCCAGGAGCCAGCTATGGGTCGTTTGGGCCAGAGGCCTCTCACGAGTGGCTTTCAGAACTTTGATGAAGAGCTCCAGAGATGTCAGGAAACCTCCTCTCTGACTGCCTCCATTTAGTGTGTGACTCTTGACAAGTCACTTAACCCCTTCCTGCCTCAGTTTCTTCATTTTATTGACTTGATTCTCTGCCAACTGCTTTGTACTTAACCTTCTTTTTGGAAGCCTTCATCTGTTTTCATCCTCTGAACTGTCTTTAAACCTTCTTGAGAATTGCTTCAACCTGAGGGTGTTGGGAATATAATTTTTGTAAAAAGCAGCTCTGAGTGGCCACTTGTACCAGATGTGGAATAACAACCCTGACAAAATTTCGTGAACACACACGTAACATTTAAAGGAAAAAGTGGTCATTTAACTTAAGAAGGCAGCATGAAGTAGATGGTAGAGAGAGTGGAGGGACTTGGGGTCAGAAAGTTCCTAGTTCAAATCCCATTTCAGGAAACTCCTAGCTTTGTCACTTTGGCAAGTCACCAAAACTCAGAAAGTGGTATCCTTAAAACCAGCTAAAGAAAATCCATTTTAAAACACACAAACAAAACTGTCTTCTTATGCTGTCATTTCAGGTAAAGTCAAAACTTTGGTTTCCTCTGGGTCACACCAGCCACCTATACATGAGAGGGGAAAGCAGCAGACTGCTTACATCCTCTCCACCCCGACCAGCTCCTTCCCCTTTGGCTGCATCAGCGGTTTCTGCTCACTTTCATTGTGTATTCATACTCTTCCTTTGTTAGAAAAAAAAAAGTGTGAGTAGATGTTGCAGTTTTTTAAATTACTGCAGTTGAAATAGTTCATCCAATTTTTAGTTCTTAAATTTTTTGAAGAATATTTTGTACTGAGATTCTTCTAAAGTGCTCTCTTCAAAATTTCTTGGTGAAAAAAGTGCACAGTCTTCCCAAACAGTATTCCTCCTCCTCCCAAGTGCCATTAACAGTGGCCCACTCCATCTGACAGAGAGCTGGTTCCAAACACCTACTTCACCAACCTGCTGTGACCTAAGAGTAATTGTCGTCTACAGAAGACACTCATTAAAAGACATGAGCTTTTCCTGGGAAATAATCCTTCAAGCTCTTCCATTAGCAGAGAAATGTTTTGCCATTATCTGGTTGAACCTTGGTCTCTCGTGGGGATGAGTTAAAGAATGAGGCAATGGTGCTATGCTAAATGTAGGGAATACAAATATAAAAGTGAGACAGTCCCTGCCCTCAAGAAGCTCACATTCTAATTTGTGGAGAGAACATATAAAGGGGAGTCAAGATCCAAGAAGGGAAAGTTTGTTCTGGGAAGCCAAAAGATGGTGAATGAAACAGTATGGATGTGCCAAAACTTTTGATACAAGCAGGAAGTAACTGGAAGCCTGGGCCAGAGAGTGAGACCTAAAGGGATGAAGTATTAGGGTCTGTATCTTCTGAAGAGCAAAGAAGCAGAGAATCATGGATTGAGATCCCAAGGAGATCTCATTGTTGCTCCAATCGGATCAAAAGAATTCTGAAAGAAACCTGGGTTTTAAAATCTTACTTCACTCAGAAGAATAGTCTGGAATAGTCAAATGAGCCCCAGATTTGGAGTTGGAGAACATGGGTTCAAATTCCAACTCTGATCTTGACCACGGCATGAGTTCTCTGGGCCTCAGTTTCCTCATCTGTAAAATGAGGGGGCTAGTCTATACTATCCAGAAGGCCATTTTTACCTCAAATTCTTATGTATATGTCTGAACAGATACATGAAGAGCAGGTGGAAATTTCCCTCTGAGATGCTTTCAGGAGTCTGTGGGAAAGGGATGGAAAATGCAGAGCCTGAGTGATGAAATATCCCTTTTCTCCAGAGCCATTGTGCACTGTTTGAGATTTCCTTCTTAATGGCCTGACATTGATTTTGTGAGTTCAAAGGTGACTAATGTAGCCTTGGAGAAGCAATTATCTGGTCCACTTTGGGGGGCAAGCACCTTACTTTCTCAAAGTCTCTTCTCCTTTTTATAAAATGTTGGAATTGTCAGTCAAAGGATTAGTGGAAGATAGCCACCACAAAGAGAATGAACCCCACCATGCTGGGAGTATACACAGGTGTCTGACATGCTGCTTACCCTCCATGCTACTCTGGGAGCCGCAAAGGAGGCACTAACTATGAAATTGAGTAAGGGCACATGCTAGCGACCTGTTCACTGGCCCACTCATCTTTCTGGTGCGCCTTGCTGTCCATTCCTTTTCCAAAGTACACTCCCCAGCCTCTTCCACATGGGGGATTGCATCAGCCCTGTTCACCAGCCCCTTTCACATGAAAATTTGTAAATCAATATCCAAAAGATTTTTTCTCACTTGCATCAAACCCCCAGCCAGGAAAAAGCCTGGCACTTTAGACTGAGGTTCAAACCTGTGTCTTGTTTTATCTCTATATACCACAAGCATTTGCTGATTCTCTCTTTTGCAGCCCCTTCCCTATTCACAAATAACAACCTTTACAAGTTAAAAACAATTATGGTCAATCAGATTTTATCTAGCCAGAAAATTCAAACCACTCCAGCAAATTACAGAAGTAACTTGAGAAGATTAAGACACGTTTTGGAATCGGCTGCTGCCTGCTCAGACAGGGCTGGAGTTAGTGGGGAAGAGAGACATACTTTACAGTCTCCTGAGTGAAAAGTGAGCAGCCACAGTAGCTCAAACATTGACGTCCCCATAACCATCCCATTCTGACCACTGAAAGCAGAAGCAGCTTCGGCACCTGGAGTTCAGACAGTAGACTCCTAGGTAGGTGAGCCACCCCAACCCTCAGCGTCCCAGTTTCTAGATTTGCATCACAAAACTGCCTGCTGGAGCTCCTCTCCCTTTCTCCAGCTTCGTTTGAAATGAGGGTGATCAAAATCTCACTTTCTGAAACTGAAAGCAACAAGTCAGAACTCTGGCAGTGAGACTTCCTTTCTAGTCTCCATCTCTCCCTAGACAGGAAGAGGCAATGCTGTCCTGAGTTAATCTCCAAAGACTTCTTTCTGTCTGCAGAGATCTGTGTCCAAAAGTCTGCTGTGTGATTATCAAAGGGTATGTGGATTTGTAGATTTACCCACTCAGCAATAAGCTCGGAGCCCCCACCAACTGGCGAGCCCTGACTCCTCTTTGAACTTGATATAGTAAGTGAGCACTGGGCATGCCACTCTAACATAATGGAGTTGCCCCTCTGTAGAACAAATAACAAATAAAAAGTACATAATAAGAAGAAAACAATGGATAATAGAGAGGACATGAGCTCTGCTGCTTACCTTCTCTCAGACCTCCGGCAGTCCCCAAATAGTATGCATAGGATTTTTCTGAACCTAGCAGGCCTCAGAAATCCACATTTTGAATTTGTGTACTTTTCCCTCCCAGGGACAAAGAATTTTCCACCTAATGTTCAATTCAAGCTTCAGGTAGGGCCAGTATTTAGATAAAAACACATGGATCCAGTATCGAAGCTCAGCCCAGGGTATTGGTACTAGGGAACTAATAAACATGGGAACATACAGCTTTTTCTATTATTGGTTGTCCCAGTTGCTTCTGGGGGAACCTCTGACTCATTCTGCTAGCTCATTGTAGAGACAGGTTATTGGACTCAGTAGCCAGCCCCAGCAAGGAGTAGCACCACCCAATTTCCCTCTCCCTGATTTTGAACGTGGCGTTTCCCTGCTCCAGCCCGTGCTATTTCCTGAAGCATCTTCTCTTGAACCCCCACCAAGCCATAGCCCTGCTTCGCCTTGCATTAGGAGAGGGAGAAGGCACAATATAATCATATTAATTGTTTTGGCAGCCATTTTGTGTAATTGACTCACCTTACAATCCATTAAAGTCATCCAATTTCTTTTCAGATAACTACTGACTAGCCACACCCCCTCCACCTTGTACTTGTGTGGTGCCATTGACTCCTTGAAACCAAGTGAAGGATTACATTACATTAATTGCTTAATTATGATTGCAATTAATTAATTAATTACATTAATCTCTATTACAATTTTTACTGATAAGTTTAGGTCCATCCTTTTATAGTAGGTGGATAACTTATGGGATTCTGACTCTGCCATCCAAATTAGTAGGTATCCAGAGGCATTCTGTGGTTTGAGGGCATGTGTGAAGATAAGGGAGGAGACAGGCTTTTACCAATGATGAGACACCATCCAAATTCCTTTTCCCACCACTTCATCCAGAAGCCTATTCCTAATTCCTCTTCCCAGGCTGACAACCAACCACAACTAGGTCCATGATCCCATAATGCCAGTCAGTTGAATTGGGAGGCATCTGTGGCAGGTTATAATTGGCTTAAGAACCCCTAATGTTCCTTGTTTGCCAGTCTATCTACAAAGCAAACTATGAGCTGTTCATTAGCATTTATAAGTAGCATCAACAACAAGGAGTGTTGAAATCATCCAGTTTTTCCCCGTACTAGGAAGGGGACAATCAGGAAAGAGAAAAAAAAGAGAAGGTAGAATTAATTTTACATCAATTAAAATCAACATTAGTTGTCCATTGTTCAAGAAGAAATTCAAAAACTGAGATCTGTCCTAACATTCCCCACCCCAAAACTAATACCCTTTAGTAGTGGTATTTTGGAATAAAGATGCTAATGAATCATTCACCCTGATAATGTGGACCAACACAAGACAGTAATACTAATCAAGCATTAGTCACATCTGAAGGTAAATGATTCACAGGCCCATAAAGAGACTGCAAGGATCCAAAAGAGATTATTGACTAGCTAAGCTTAGACAATCTTCACTTTCTCTAGAGGTTTACACTTCATGCTGTTTATAAAAGCTGGGCCCAAGGGTACTTAACTAAAGGAGCGAGTAACCCATCTCCCTGATTGATTTTGGTGGGATGTGAGAGTTTGGGGAAAAGGGATAAGAGACATGAAAATGATTCCGGGGGCATTCAGATTCAAGAAATGGAGTGAAACTGGCTCATTAAAGTCATTTGGGGATCTTACGGTCATAGATTTAGAGCTGTAAGGGACTTTAGGGGGCACATAGTCCAGCTTCCTTATTTTATGATTGAAGTATTTATTAAGCACCTACTATATACCAGACACTGTGCTAAGTGCTTTACAAATATCATCGCATTTGATTCTTACAACAACCTTGTGAGGTAAGTGAGGTAGATTTTGTAGTTGAGGTGACTGAGGCAAATAGAAGTTAAATGACTTGCCTAGAGCCTCATAGCTAGTAAATGTCTAAGGCTAGATTTGAACTCAGGTCTTCATGACTCCAAAACCAGAGCTCTAACCACCATGTTACCTAGTTTCCTAGGTCAGAGACATTAAATTAACTTGTCCAAAGTCACCTAGCTAGTAAGCAGCAAACTCAGGCTCTGGGTCTCTGGATATAGGACTCTCCTCTGGATCATACTGCTTTTGACTTCTTTCACAACAACACCACACCACACTTCTCCAACCTGGATCACAACATCAACCTTATCATCAATTAGGCAAAACATTTTGTCGTTTTCAAAATACACTCATACTAAGCTTATAATTTGATAGAACCTTCATTGTCTCCCCTTCATATTGAATGGTGCATTTTTTTTCTTTTTACTGAATTTTAATTTAAATTTCTTCCTTTTCCCATTTCCTTTTTGAAATGCTTTGAAGCTGTAGCATGTGTTGTTAATGTTTGTCTTATATGTGCATGTAAACTGTGTGAAAGTATGCTTACAAATTACATTCCACTATGCCCAAAGGGCTATAAAAATGTGCATACTCTTTGACCCAGCAATACCATTTCTAGGGCTGTATCCCAAAGAGATCATAAAAATGGGAAAAGGACTCTTATGTCCAAAGATATGTATAGCAGCTCTTTTTGTGGTGGTCAAGAATTGGAAATTTAGGGGATACCCATCAATTGGGGAATGGCTGAACAAGTCGTGGTATATGTATGTAATGGACTATTACTGTGCTATAAGAAATGATGAGCAAACGGACTTCAGAAAAACCTGGAAAGACTTGTATGAACTGATGCTGAGTGAAGTGAGCAGAACCAGGAGAACATTGCACACGGTAACAGCCATGTTGTGTGATGACTAACTTAGCTCTTCTCAGCAATGCAAGGATCTAAAATATCTCCAAGGGTCTCATGATGGAAAATGCTATCCACATCCACAGAAAGAACTATGGAGTCTGAATGCAGATCAAAGCATACTATTTGTCCTTTTTTTTCTTCTGTTTTGTTTTGTTTCTTGGTTCTTGTGGTTCCTCTTATTGGTTCTAATTCTTCTTTACAACATGACTAATATGAAAATATATTTAAAAGGAATGTATATGTAGAGCCCATATCAGATTGCACACTGTCTTGGGGAGAGAGGTGGGAAGGGAAGGGGAGAAAATTTAAAACTCAAAAGCTTGTGGAAGTGAATGCTGCAAACTAAAAATGAATTAATTAATAAAAAATAATAGGCAAAAATAAGATAAAAAGAAAATTAATTAATTAATTAAATTTAAAAAATAAATTACATTCCACTCTGTGAACTGTCCAGATCTGATCAAAAGCCCTTTGCTGTTAGAATTCTATAACTGCATAAGACATTAAACCTGTGTTGCTATAAAAAAACTCAAAATACACTCATACTCAGTGTCTCATTGGTTCCCTTTGCACATTTATCCGCCTTAGTTAGTGGTATACTGGTTATCCTTTTTTCTACCTATTCTGCTGGATTCCTGAGCCTATAGATAAGAGGCTAAGATGTCTCATCCTGACTTGAAGGAGGGATCTTCCCTGCAAGGCTGGCACAGGGTGTGACCAGGAAGGATTTCACCACTGCCTTCCCCACCCACCCCCTTCCAGTCCTATGAAACATCGTTAAATCAGCACCACTTGACTTGGCCACCACCCTCTCTCTCTTGTCCCGACTTCTCTCCCTCTCCTCAAGCTCACAGTGCCTTGGCTTCCCAGGATATCCCCTGTAAAGTTTCCCACTTAGGATCAGCCTGTTTAGCTCCCATCTTTCTCCACTTATCGTAACTCACTGGTCGTGTGCTCTGTTCGCTCAGAATCTTATTCAAGGCTTTCTATGATTACCACTAGAGAGTCTTACAACTTTCTTCATGCTACTACGTGAATTAATGGTGAGGATTCAATGTGTAATCTATTTCTCCCTCCTAGCCGTATGACCATAGTAAGTCATTTAATCACTTTGAGTCTCAGCTTTCTCATCTGTAAAATGGGAATAATAAGATTTGTACTACCCAGTTCACTCTTTGTGAAGAGATAGACTGTTAGGGCAGAAAGCACATGGCTCTGGAGTTACCACACCTGCATTCAAATCCCACTTCTGATACTTACTGCCTATGTTTCCTTGGGCCTCAGTTTTCCCATCTGTAAAATGAGAGCATTGGTACAGATGACCTCTAAGGTCCCTCTCAGCTCAATATCTGTGATCCTAAGTTAAAATCTGAAGAAAGTGCTTTATAAATTATAAATCAATATAATGACAAATTCATTTTATAGAAATATGTTATTATTCCCAAACAGTGGATAAGAATGCAGGCAATGGCTTAGGTATGTGGATTGGCCTCATCAACAGCACTGGCTAATAGGCAATGATTTTGAGGGGAGGGGGAGGCATAGCAACTCATTAAATTGTCTGCTAAGGCATGGGGGGGGGGGGGTCGTGTCAATGGAAGAAGGACTGCTCAGAGGCATGAACTGAGGGATGCCTGACATATTGAAGTGTTGTTGTCAGGTGATAATCTTTATATTGAATAGACCTTCTCTAAACATAATACCTTAACCTAAATGAATGATTCTAATGGTGAGAATTTCAGGCAGCCCAGCTGGCAGGTCACTTGGGGTTACTAGAATCACACCACATCTGGTTTGCTCCAAGGACCAAGCTTACAGCTAAAACTTAAGGCCCTGGAAATGGTAGCCAGAGAGCTGGGGTCCCGGGAAGATAGCATCAGAAGCTCCTAGACACAGACTCCATTTCCCCGAGCTTGGGCAGAAAAGGAAGGACATCTCTCCACCATGAGAGTGAAACCTACTCAGTCCTCCACAATACTGGTATATTCCCAATGAGATTACCTCCAATTTATCCTGTAGGAATCTTGTCTGTATATGGTTGTTTGCATGTTGTCTACTCCATTGGACGGCCGACTGTTTTTGCCTTCTGTTATATCTTTAGCCCTTAGCATAGTATCTGGCACATAGTAGGCACTTAATGAATGCATACTGACTTGTTGATTTGACAGGGATGTTCAGCATAGGCCTGGCCCCCGTTAATGCCAGGATATCCAGGGGACTGAGTCCATCTACATTATACTCTTGAGACTAACAGTTCCTAAAGGAACGTTGTTTCTCTGGACATCTCTTAGAAAGGGGAGAAAGTGTTAGGATAAGTAAACTCAGGACCTCTAGTCCTGAAGGGTGAGTTTGGCTCCATGGGATGACTCCTTCCTTTTTCCCCTCAACTATTCATTTATTCCTTGATCATCAGTCAGCCC